CCTGGAGCTGGAGTAACAGGTGGTTGTAAGCTGCCTGATGCAGGTGCTTGAAACTGAACTTGGGTCCTCTGCAAGAGCTCTTAGCCTCTGAGCCATCTCTCCATCCCCTTAACAAGAACTTTGGAGTTGTGTTTTCTTTTTTTCTTACCTTTTTTGGAGCACGGTCTCCCTTTAGTCCCAGCTGGCCTGGAATTCACTGTGTAGACCAGGCTGGCCTTGAACTCACAGAGATCTGCCTGCTTCTGCCTCCCAGTTTCTAAAAGCATGCACCACCATGCCTGGCTGTGTTTTATTTTCTTTAAAACATATATAGCCATATTATAATCTAGGTTTTTTGTTTGTTTTTTTTTTTTGACACAGGGTCTCCTATGACTGAGGCTGACCTTAAACTCCCTAGGTATCTGAGATTGACCTTGAACTCCTCATCCTCCTGCCTTTACCTCCTGAGTGCTGGGATTACAGGCACAAGTCATCACACCCAGTTTATATGTGGGGGCTGGAAATCAGGGCTTGCCATAGGTTAGGCAAGCTTCGTGCCAACTGAGCCACATCCCCAGACGGTGATATCTCTTTATTAGTTTCTTTGGTGCTTATACTTCCCAATTCACTAACACACACACACACACACACACACACACACACACACACACACAATCAAGACAGAGTCTCCTCCCCATGTAGCCCAAACGGTGGGATGGAATTCCCAATCTGCCTCTGCCCCCTGAATTGCTGGGATTACAGGCACGCACCACCATGTCCGCTCGACTCTAGACATCTTTACATGTGTTTTCCAAAATGACTGTTCTGTTTCAGTTTCCCACCAGCAGCATGAGGTTTCTAGTTGCTCCACATCTCCACTGACACCCAAGCAGGTCAGCCTTTTATTTTAGTCATTCGAGTGGGCGTGCAGTGGTGTTTCTCTCCGGTTTCATCTCGATTTCCCTAGTGACTAAAGATACTGAACACATCTCCACCTGCTGCTGATTGGCCATTAGGGTCTCTGCTTTGTGAAGTGTCTGTTCAAAAGTCTTTTGGCCACTTAAAAAAAAAATCGGGAAAAGCCAGGCCTAGTGGCACAAGCCTATAATCACAGCACTTGGGAGGCAGAGGTGGGAGGATCAAGGTAAGTTTGAGGTCAACCTGGGCTACATAGGTTGGGACACTGTTTCCAAACCACACAAAACAAAATTGGGCATAGTGGCACATGACTGTAATCCCAGCACTCCAGAGGAGGAAGCAGGAAGATCAGAAGTTCAAGGTCATCCTGAATTTGCAGTGAGTTCAAGGCTAGCCTGGGATACATGGAAAAAAAATCAGGTTGTTAGATTTTTAATTTTCTTTTCTTTTTTGGTGGTGCTAGAGATGGAATCCAGGGCCTCAAACCCAGCTAGCCCTCTACTGCTGAACTACACCCTTAGTTTGTTTGTCTGAATTTTCAAAAGCTTCTGGTGGCTGCAGGGAGGTGGGGGATGGGTTGTAGCATCCACAGAGACTGGCTGACCACAGGCCCAAAAGACTGCCTAGTTTCCGGGAAAGTTGGCTTTGACCTTCCATAGCTCTTGGCTTGCTGCCTGGAAAGGGTGAGCTATTTTACAAACCTCAGCCCAGCTTCCTGCAGCCTGGCACCTTTGCAGAACAAAGCCCTTCCACTCCATCTTCCTTTACCCAAAGAGGAAACCTGACCCAACATCTGGCCCAGTGACCAGTCAGGCCTGTGCTCCATGCTCTGCACCTGTATAGTTGTATGAGCCGAAAATATATTAAAATACATCACTTCTGAGCTGGACGTGCTGGTGGTTCACAGTTCTTCCCTTCCCCCTCCTTCTCCTTCTTCTTAGGGTCTCCATGTAGCCTCAGCTGGCCTGGAACTTGCTGTGTAGATCAGGCTGGCCTTGAACTCACAGGGATCTGCTTGCCTTTACTTCCCAAGTGCTGGGATTGAAGGACTGGGCCACCATGCCCAGCAAGGTTCGCACTTCTAAAATCAGCACTCAGGAAGCATGAGGATTATGGGTTCAAGGCCAGCTTGAGTTACAGAAAGAGTTCTGGGCCATCTTGAGCTACTTAGCATGGCTCTGTTGCAAAAAAATGAAAAGAAGGAAGAAGGAAAATAAAATGAGAGAGAAAGAAAAAAGGAAGAGGAAGGGAAAGGTGGCTCAGCAGTGAAGAGCACTGGCTGTTCTTGCAGAGGACCTGGGTTCAGTTCCCAGTACCCACATGGCAGCTAACAACCGTCCATAACTCCAGTTCTAGGGGATCCAACACCCTCTTCTGGCCTCTGCAGGCATTGCATGCACATGGTGTGCTTACATACATGCAGGCAAAAACACTTGTACACATAAAATAAAAATAAATCTTTTAAGAAATAATTATTTGGAAAGAGGGCTGGAGAGATGGCTCAGCGGTTAAGAACACTGACTGTTCTTGCAGAAGACCCAGGTTCAAATCCCAGCACCCACATGGCAGCTTACAACTGTCTGTAACTCCAGTTCCGGGGATCCGACAGCCTCTTCTGTCCTCTGCAGGCATTGCATGACATGGGTGCACTTACCTACATGCGGGAATAACACTCATACACATAAAATTTTAAAAAAATAAAATATAAAAAAAATAATTATTTAGAAAGAGAGGGAGAGAGAGGGAGGAGGGAGAGGAGGAAGAAGAGGAGGAAAAAAGTCCTTTGGTCAGTATATAACCTGTCCTTGGGGCTGAGACGATGTCTTGGGAGGCAGAGGCAGGTGGATTTCTATGAGTTAGCCTGGTCTACATAGTGAACTTCAGGCGAGTCAGTGCCACATAGTGAGACCTTGTCTCAAAAAACAAACAAAAGGTGAACAATACGTGAGGTACAGCATGTGAGTTTGAGTTTGTCCTCTGGTCACACACACGTATACATACACAGACATATGCACAAACACATAAACAGACACATGCACATAGAAACACAGACACATACACACACAGACACACACACACACTCACACAGACATACACACACAGACGTACTCAGACAGAAACACAGACACACAGAGACACAGACACATACACAGACACACACATAGACACATACAGACACATACTCACACAGACATATACACACACTACAGAGACGTACACAGACACATACTCGGACTCAAACATTCAGACAGACAGACACACACACACACACACACAGACTCAAACATTCAGACAGACAGACACACACACACACACACACAGACTCAAACATTCAGACAGACAGACACACACACACACACAGCCTCTCATTAGCACACATCCCACAAATGTCTGCCAACACTTTTCCCTTGGGATCCCTAGAACTTGCCACACCTCAACAACTAAAGAGGATACCAGGACCCCAACCAAAGCCTATGACTACACTGTCTCTGACTGAAAGGTGCCCTGGTATCCATGGCCATTCCGCTGAATGTGTTCTAGAGACAAGACAGACCTGGCTGGGGTTAGAAGAGGGATCAGGAAGCTGGTGCTCAGAGCAGCCAAGATGTGGGGGTTGGGGGAGGACAGTGCTGATCTATCAAGGGAAGCTGGCAGCTTGCCCCTGGATGTACTGTTAACACCACCTACAACGGTGGTTAACATTTCATGAGCACTCATAACATTTCATGCAGTTTCAAAGAACCTCACTGGTTCATTAGAACCTCGTAGAAACTGTACTTGTGTCCTGCTCTGGTCCAGGGCTCCCACATTCTGTTTCAGCTCATAGGCAGAGGGAGTTTTGACCGACAATAGGTCAGGCCCTTCCTGCCCATAGCCCTGCCCAGCTCTCTAATTGTTATCTCTCTTAACTAAGACTTGTTTTGAGAGGTCGGCTGGGGGAGGGAGGCCACTTTTCCTCCATGCTTGCTAGCCCTTATGGGAAACTTTCCAGTTCTTTAGAGATGGGACTCACAGGCCTGTGCAGTGGTGGTGGTGAGCAGCAGGAGTTACCTCATCCGGGACCCAGACCTTCCTGTGGACTCCAGAGTCCCCTCCTCCCCTACTGGCACCCTCATGTCCCATGACCACCATCCAGCTTCCTCTTTTCTCTGCTGTACCCAGGAGTGTGACATGTGAATGGGGGAGGGGGGCCTCCTGAAGCTGTTTTATGCCCCAGGGCCCCAACCTCAGGTTCCTCCTCCAGCCCCAGCTTGGGCTCCCACTGGAAGCTAAGTTGTCCCTACCTCCTTCCCATCAGCCCCTCTAACCTGGTTCCCACCCGCTTTCCTGTTGGACAATACAGCCTAATCAGGCCCAGTGGTCACCACGTGGCCCCCACCTGCTTCCCTCAAGATCCAATCCTGTCTCTGTCATGTGTGGATCTGTGACAAAAACTCTCACTCTCTGCTCTGCTGTCATCTCTTTCTCTGTCATCTCTCTCTTGCTTTCTTTCCTTTTCTCTCTCTCTAACAATAAAATATCTATCTTTGGGTCCTGGGATCCTTTCTTCCGTATTTACTGTGTGGCTGTGCGCAAGTGTCTTTACCTCTCTGTAAGATGAGATAAAAGCATCTCCTTCAGATGAATTTGTGGAGATTAAATGATTTAACACTTGGGACGAGACAGAGCTTCTCAGTCATTAGTGTCCACGCTGATGGCTGTCTCTTAATATCCTGTGAACATGAGAAGAATTTGATTATTAAATAATTGTAGCTGATGCTTACAGCTGCTGACGAATGTTGGATCTTGCTCTGGGAACATCAGTTCACTGAGTCCCCAGGACCCTACAAAGAGAGTAATATTTTGCTTCCAATCTTACAAATGAAGAAACAGAGGCCTAGAGAGGCTGAGTGACTTGTTCAAGGTTGTCCAGTCAGGAAGAGGTCAAGCTGGTTTCAGTTACAGTCGCCCACTAAACTCTCCTGCTACAGTGTCTGACTCTGACTGGGGGTGGAGGTCAATAGCTGTCATAGCCTTTTGCCCTTCTTTTCCAGTCTTTAGTGACTGTGGCATAGCCTCAGGCCAGATTCTTTCTGCTGTCCTCTCTGTGTGTCCCTCCTCCCCTCCTGCTGTTCCACCACCACCACCCCCCGCGCGCCACCACCCACCTCGGACTTCCTCCTTCATTTGGTTGGACTTGGACGGCCTGTCAAATCCCACAGACCCCTGGACTGTGGGGTCCAGCAACATCTGGCCACCATGGGGGTCCTGGAGCCCCTCTGGCACCTTCTGCTTCTTCCCATCCTTCTGACTTTGTGTGGTGAGTTGGGGGTTTCTGCGGCCTCCTGCCTCCTCAGCTCAGTCAGGGGCAGGGCCAGGCAGAGAGGGACACGGCAACCAAAGAGGAGGGCTGGGCGGAAGATGTTTCCTCTAGAATCCGCGGGTCTTTCTGAACCAGAGCTGCCAAGATTTGGAACCTAGTCGAAACAGGAGGAGGGGACATCTAAGATGTCACAACCAGACAAACCAACAGAGATACCATGCACTGATGCCAGCCCTGGCAGGTCCTGTGAGGCACTGTTCCACCTCCTCCAGCTTCTTTAGCCATTGCCTGTTTGCCCAGGCTAGCCTGTTCATCCCTCAATTTTCCCAGGCTAGCCTCAGACTTGCTAAGTAGTTGATGACCTCAAATCCTGATCCTTGAACCTCCATCTCCTTCAGTCTACCTCTTTTTTTTCCCTCCTTTAGGTCTCAATCCTGTCCAGGCCCAGAGCGGTAAGTTGAGAGACCCCCAATCCTTTGCCCCTTCTCTCAAGGACCTCCTCATCTCTATTTCTTCACTTCCAGCCCTCCCCTGCTAACAGCCTGCTCTCCACACCCTGATTCTCAACATGTTTCCCTTCTTCATCCTTTTGTGATACATTCCCAGAATGCAACTGCTCCCCAGTGAGCCCAGGGGTGCTGGCGGGGATCGTGCTGGGTGACTTGGTACTGACAATGCTCATTGCCCTGGCGGTGTACTCTCTGGGCCGCCTGGTGCCTCGAGGCCGAGGAACTGCAGAGGGTGAGTGGGGCCGGCTGGGGCCGGCCTGGGAAACTCTCTGAGGACTGACTTGGTGGGAGGCGGGTGTCCAGGAAGCTCCTGGGTCACAAACATCCAAAGGGATGGGGATGGAAGGGCTTTGTTGTTGTGTGGTTGGGGTTAGGGGATTTTTGTTGTTGCTCCCCCACTGCCAATGCTGAAGAGTCAAGCAGGCCTCACATTTGTACTGCAAGGACTCTACCACCTGAGCCACATCACCACCCCGGAAGGGCTGTTTCATTTGCTTTAAACTCTTCAAGTTATGTTTATTTTTGTTTGTCTCTGTGTGAATTTTTGCACATCAGTGCAGTGCCTAATGGAGACTGGAGGGTGTTAAATCCCCTGGAGCTGGAGATACAGGCAGTTGTGGACTGCCTGATGTGGGTGCTGGGGATCAAACTTGGGTACTCTGTAAGAGCAATATCTGCTCTTAACTGTTGGACCAGCTCTCCAGCCCCTGGAAGGACTGGTTTTAAAAAATAACAAAATAGTCTGATTCACAGCTTAGTCCACCTGTGCACCTGTGTCACCCTCCCCACTCTGCAGGGACCCAGAAACGGCACATTGCTGAAATGGAGTCACCGTATCAGGTGAGAACACCAGATTCTTTCCCATCTGTCACTCCTGTCCCCTCCTGTGGGTGTCTGTCCTATACACACACACAGACACACACACACAAACATACACACAGAGATGCATATATACGCGTATACATACAACACACAGAACACACATGCACACACATGTATACATATACACATGCTCACATATACACGTTCATACATACACACAAACATACACATGCACATATACATACACAGGCAGGCACACAGTTGCACACGTAGATACACACAGATACACATACAGAGATACACACATACATACACACATTCATATACACAAACACACATACACACATGCAGATACACATTCATACAGACACACACACAAATACATCCACGGACATACACATACATACACATACATGCACACGTGTATACACACAGGCACAAACATGCACACAGACACACATACATATACACATACAAATATATACACATTACATACAGCCATACATATACACACATACACACAAACACACATGAAAATACATGTTCAAACATATACATGCACAGACATACATATACACACATATACTCACATATATATACACAGATACAAGCATATGTACATAGACACAAAGGCACACACATACATATACACATACATACAGATACACATATATACATATACGCACTACACACAGGCACACACACACACACACACACACACACACACACACACACACCCTTGGCCCTTCCCAGCACCTTAAGGTCCTTGCCCCAGTAGCTCCTGTGAAGACAAAGGGACATCATGTTCAATGATCAACCAGGACTCTACGCTCAGCTTCAGATATGTGGGGAGGAAATAGAGGGTGTGTTCTTTGTAGGGGTGAGAACAGGCCTTACAGAGTTCCTCTGACAAAAGCCTGGCCCTCAGTGAGCCCGGGAGAAGCCCTGGGTAAGGCAGAGGCTAGAATTCAGCCTGAGTGTGATGTCTCTAAGGAGAGGAGCTCCAGAGTTTGGACAGGGAAGAAGGGGATGTAGTGAATCCTACATTCCTTTAAGAAGCGGACAAAAGCTAGACTCCTCAGAAAAATCCCTATAAAATAAAAAGTTGGGATCTTATCACTTGGGAGGCAGGAGGATAGGAAGTTTAAGGCCAGCCTGGGCTGTCTAGTAAGTCTGAGGTTAGCCTGGGCTATAGATGAAGAGTCTGTCTCAAAAAAGAGGCATGGGAAGGGGTGTAGCTCAGTGGTACAACATTTGCTTAGCATGTAGGGCGCTCTCAGTTTAACCCCTACTCCAAAAGACTAAAATAATAATAATGGCTGGAGAGATGGCCCAGTGGTTAAGAGCACTGGCTGTTCTTGCAGAGGACCTGGGTTTGATTCCCAGCACCCACATGGTGGCTAGCAACTTCAGTAGTGGAATCCTACATCCTCTTCTGACCTCTGTCAGCATTGCATAACACGGATACACTTACATGCATGCAGACAATACACTCATACACATAAAATAAAAACAATAAACGAAAAAAAAAAAATAACAGTGATAATACTGGCACACTGTCCCAGGATTCCAGAAGCCAAGGCAGGAGGATTGTGAGTTCAAAACCAGCCAACCTATCTATTGTATCCCCCAAATAATAAAAAAATGGGTCGGTATTGTGGTTCTGTGATGCAGCAGTTGCTTTGTGTGCACAAAGCCCTGTGTTCAATCCCCAGTAACAATAAATAATTAAATTTAAAAAAGCCATACGTGAAAGCTTGACACAGGACAAATTGTCCTTGAACTGTCTCCTAAAAACCATAATATAAGGGGCTGGAGAGATGGCTCAGCGGTTAAGAACACTGACTGTTCTTGCAGAAGATCCGGGTTCGAATTCCAGCATCCACATGGCAGCTAACAACTGTCCGTAACTCCAGTTTCACGGGATCCAAAAGCCTCTTCTGTCCTCTGCACACATTGCATGAGACAGGTACACTTACCTACACACAGGCAATACACGCAAACATACAACATAAAAATAATAAAATAAAATATTTTTTAAAAAATTTAAAAACCATAATATAAAAACATGCTTCCTCTCTGTTAAGGCTTTATTTATTTACTTACTTATTTGTGTGTGCATGTGTGTGTGTGTGTCTGCGTGTGCATGTGTGTGTGTGTGTGTGTGATATATGTGAAAGCCAGAGGAGGACATTGTCTATATCTCTATCTTCACCTTGTTTTAAAAATTTATGTGTGAGTGTGTGTATGTGTGTGAGTGTGCACATGTTTTGGTGACCAAATGGAGGTCAGAGGACAACCTTTAGGAGTTGTTCTTCCATCATGTGGGTCCCCCCAGATCAAGCTCAGGTCCTCAGGCTTAGCGGCAAGCACCTTTACCCACTGAGCCTTCTTACTGGTCTTTTTTTTTTTTTGTCTTTTTGAGATAGGGTCTCCATATAGCCACAGCTGGCCTTGAACTCAGAGATCTGCCTGCCTCTGTCTCCCAAGTGCTAGGACTATAGGTGTGTGCCACCATGCCCAGAACCAAGGCTCCTTCTTAACCCTCTGGGGAGTTGTGAAACTCCCAAGACTCTTCCCTAGAAAAACACACACCCAGAGTGATCTCCAGCATGTGATTTCAGACACCTGAAATTTCAAGACAGTCTGCTTGCCAGCTGCCCCTTGGAGTCACAGACACCCCCCTCTGTGACCCTTGCTCTGGGAAGTCTGACTTACTGCCTGAAACCACCTTTGCCAGTTTGCCTCCCTACTGGATAAAAGGTTTCTTTGCAAAGTCCAAGAACCTCAAGTTTGGCCCCACAAGGCCCAGAAGGCCAGTAAGGCTGTCCAGTCCACTTTAGGACAAAGCGTTAGCCTGGTTTACCTATCCCTCGGTGGATTGGTTGAGATCTACGTAAGTTGCATAGTGAGGGCTCAAAGCAGAAGATTTTACATCCTAATTAGACTTGAAGCAAGCCAACAAAATCATTTTGGAGGAAGATACCATGAAGGGACTGAAAGGAGGCTGATGTGGCAATGGTAGGATAAGAAGAAACTATAGATGGGAAAATTGAAAAAGTATCCTTCTTAGACTTGAAGGAAGTTGAAGATCGAGGGGACTGGCACTCCAGGCAGAGGAAATAGCATGTGCAAAGGCCCTGAGGCTAGGATACAATGCCCGGGCGGGGGGAAGGGGGGCACACACTGGACGACACTGAGTGCGTTTGAATAAAATCCAGATCTCTTCTGTAATTATAAGCTTGAAGAAGCTTCCAGGGACCTTGACAGCCATTAAAAGGCTGTTTTATTTGCTGGGCTCCTTCCACTTCCTGCCTCTTGTCTTTTCAGGAGCTCCAGGGTCAGAAGCCAGAAGTCTATAGTGACCTCAACACACAGAGGCAGTACTACAAATGAGCTGGGCATGCTTGTCAACCACCCAAAGCTTGATTCCAGTCCTTCTTGAAGCCCATTCAACAAGCCCTTCAGACTCCCACTGGGATACAGATCCACGGAATGTCCTCCCTGAAACATCTGACCACCCCCCACTACTGTCCCCAAATAAATGATGGAGCAAAAAACATTGTTATGTGAGGCTTCCGGGCTGAGGAGTTGGGAAATGTGAGGTCCTGAGAGGAGGTCTTGAATCTGCAAAACAGTGACTTGGGAGGAAGACAGGCTTTGGGAAACCTAAAGTTCTTTGAGGAACAGTAAGACTAGAGATGTATCTTGATAGCTTTATTTCAGTTCAAAAGGGATGTGTTCCCAGGTGGCCACACACAAGGGGTCAGAAGTCAAAGATCGGAGTCAGCGTCTGCCAGGCATGTTGATGTAAACTCTGTTATCTTCTGTTGGGTTGGGGGAAGAGAGCAGGAAGCTTGACCACTCACCACCCACCCGACATCTCCATTTTTCTGGGGGACCCCCTGCCTCAGGGATTTCCTCAGGGGTTCCCCAGTCACCTCCCCCAGGGTTTCCCCAGTACCTCCTCCAGGGCTTCCCCCGGGACCCCCTGTGTGGGACCCCCCTCCTTCCCTAAGGGACTATGACCCACTCTCCAGGCCCCGCCCCAGTCTGCTCACCTTGACCCTGCCTGTTGCGTGGGCGCATGCATGCAAACACTACCCCCACGATTAGCAGAGACATAACCGCATCTGCTGCCACCAGACCTGCCAGGAGAGGCAGGGACAGGGGCCCACATCCAGAACAGGAACCTGGAGGGAGGAGCCCAGACCAGCAGGCTGCTGAGAGGGTTTCTGACTCTTTGACTCCCATAGGGAGAGGAGCCAATGGAAAGTGTGAAAGGAGAGGTGGAGAGCTAAGACAGGCTGGAGGGTCATAGAACCCCAGGGTTGTACAGTGGGCACACTGAGGTTCTGTCAAAGACAGGCCAAGATGAGATCCAGACAGAGGGCGCAGATTAGGGAGTGATGAGCCAGAGTCCCACACAGGGGGTCCCAGGGAAGCCCTGGAGGAGGTGCTGGGGAAACCCTGGGGGACCCTTGGGCCAAACTTTAGTGTTAGAGGCTCTTCCTCAGGTTCCAGGGTTTCTCACCTGCAGGTGTCTGACTGGCAACCACTATGGAAAGACAGAAAAGGGTGAAAAGGGGCTGGAAAGATGGCTCAGTGATTAGGAGCACTGGCTGCTCTTGCAGAGGACACACATTTGGTTCTCAGCACCCACATGGTGGCTAACATCCATAACTTCCATTCCAGGGGATCCAACACTTTCTTCTGACCTCCTCAGGCATCACAAAACATGGGTACACTGACAAACATGCAGGCAACACACTCATACACATAAAATAAAAATAATAAATAAAACATTTTTTAAAAAAGGGTGGATGGGTGGATGTTGGGGGGTGCAGTCCCCAAAGCATGGGGCAGGGGAAAGTGATGTTCTGAGAGGTAAGTGTCACTCTGGAGAGGTAGATAGGAAAGGGAGTTCCCAGGGATACAGAGAGTGACCCCAAAAGGAAAGCAAGATAGTGACCCAGCAGTGAAGAGAGGAGCCCCTAGCCCTGGATCCCCCAAGCCCACCCTGGAAGACCCAGGCCCATCAGATGGCACCCTCCCTGCCCTTGACCACTTCACCTGGGAGCAAAAGCAGAAACAGGAGGCGGTCTTGAGGGGCCATGGTGGGCCTGAAGGGATCTGGCCAAGGATTGTGTTCAGAACAGCCGGGGAGCAGAGAGGCAGCAAGAACGGATATTGCCGTGCTGGTGACAATACCACCGACTTCCTGTGTGTATGGCTGCATGTGCCACCACTTTTAGGAAACTAATTTGGGGGTGTTACAGAGCCCAGAGAATCCTATGTGATCAAGGCAGAGTTCCAGGTAAACCAGGGTATGGACACTAGGGAGATTCTGGAAATATTTTGAAAGTAAAGCCAACTGCATTTGGGGCTTGGGTGTGTGTGTGTGTGAGTGTGTATGTGAGAGGGGCCCCAAGGGACCTCAACTTCTGGCCTCAGCAACTGGAAAGATGGAGTATAGACTGACTAGAGTTGGGAGGAGCTAGCTTGGAAGGAGGTAGGCTGCTGAGGTTTGGGGCAGCTGAATTGGAAATGCCTGAGAGATCTTCCCTGTAGAGATTTGAAATGTCCGAATCTGTGCTTAGAGACATCAGGGACAAGTCGAGTCCTGAGACATAAATCTGAGAAGGCTGATGGCTTAAGGATGGCATTTAAAGCCAGAGGACTGGATGAGATCACAAAGAAGCATAAACAAAACACCGCACACACGGATAGAGACAAAGGGAACCAGTGGGCCAGTGTCAGTGGGGGGGGGGGGAGTGAGAGGCAAAGCTACCGAGGGAGGAGACCCTATGCAGCACAGAGTGTTGAAAGCAAAAGAGAAATTTGCTCACCACAGTCAAGTGTGGAGGAAGGTCACCAAGTAGGAACTGAGAATGTCTGTCCCCTTGAGGGCTGGGAATTCCTGCCTGCTTAGTTCACAGCTTTCTACCCCAAGCATTCACTGAAGTGTCTCTCCTGTGGTCACAGAGTTTTTAAAATGATGAATAAGTGAACTGGGCACGGTGGCCCAGGCCTGGAATTCCAGCACTACAAAGGCTGAAGGAGGATTGCCTTGAGTTTTGGGCCAGCCTGGTCTACATAGGGAGTTCCAGGCCAGCTAGGGCTATATAGCAAGACCCTGTCTCAAAAAACCAAACCAAGCTGTGTGTGGTGGTACACACCTTTAATCCCAGCACTCAGGAGGCAAAGGAAGGCAAATCTCTGCGAGTTCAAGACCAGCCTGTCTAAATATTCAGTTCCAGACCAACCAGGGCTACAGAGTGAGACTCTGTCTCAGAAAACAAATGAACAAACAAAAACCCGAACAAACAAAAAAATCAAATCAGGGGCCAAGGAGATGGTCAGGAGATAAAGGCGTTCGTCATGTAAGCCTGACAACTGAATCTGATTCCTAGAATCCACATAAAAAGCTGGCACTCCTAACAGCGAAGAGTTCAGCTGTCCTTTGACCACAAGAGCGCACACACACACACACAATTTAAAAGAACAAATTAAAAAGTGAATATTAGCAGTTGGGTGAGGTGGCCCACATCTGTGATCCAGCACTTGGGAGATGAAGGCAACAAAATCAGGAATTCAAGATTATCCTTTGCTACCTAGAGTTCTAGGCCTTCTGGGGTTACATGAGACCCTGACACACACACACCCTGCCACCCACCAAAGCCAAAGGGGGAAAAAGGAATAAATGAAACTTAACTTTGAAGTTAGAAAAAGGCCATTTGAGAAAAGAGAGATTTGAGCCCTCTATACGACCCTTCCCTAGGGACTTCTCCTTTGGGACCACGGCCAGAATCCGAGTCTTTTCTCCCAGGGGACCCAATAGCTTGCTCTGCCCACATACAGTCCAAGTCAAGGCCTCTAACATCCGCTCGCCTGGAGCCTCAGAATTCCAGGTCCTCAATGTCCCCGTCTTCCTGGAGGCGTGACCATTTTTGGCTCTTCAGACCAAAGACAGGACCCTCTACCCAACCCCGGCCCCAGCACCCCCCTTCCTGGGAGACCCAGGGATGGGACCCTCCAAAGTCAGCCCCGCCCATTCAGAGGCTGAGCTAATTCAAGCGGGACGCGGGAACTCCCAGGTCTGTGGGCGGGGCCCTGCCCAGGACTGGGAGGTGCCAGAACCTCAATTTAAAAACTTGCGGGGCACCTAGCTCAAGATCGGGGACCCGGCGGCGGCTCCGCGGGGAAGCAGCGAGGCTGGCGCAGCGCCGAGGCCGAGGCCCTGGGGGCCAGCAACCTGCACCGCGGAACCCGCGAGGTAATGGAGGGGGAGAGTGAGGAACGCGCCCCTGGAGACTGGGCTGAGGCCGTGAGGGTCAGCTGGAACGCGAAGTTGGGTCCCGAAAGTGTGTGTGTGTGGAGGGGGGGGGGGTCCTTCCCGGTGATTGGAGGAAGGAGAGGTCGGGATTCCGCACCCCTGGGGCCTTGGGGATGTTGGAGATAGGAGATGCGGAATCCTGAGGTTTGGGGGTTCAAGGGCTGGGAGGCCGGATCCCCGGTGCCTGTATGAGGACAAGGTGATCCGGATCCCTTCGCGCATGGAGGGATTGCACTGTATCAGAATCCTGGGTGTTAGGGTGCGTACAGGAATCCTGGGTATGAGGGCAGGGAGACCCCCTCCAAGCGGGGTGTGCTTGGAGGTGTGGCTGGTTTGGGTCCCGAAAGTGGGACGCTGGACCTCCGGGATCCACTCCGGCCCCGGGATTTCCCAGAGCGCCGCAGGTCCGGGGTCCCCGGGCCGAGCAGGAATTCCCCGCTTTCGGGGATTCCACGAACTACACGCTTCGCCGCGCGCCCCTCCTCCGAGAGGAACACCTGGGGCGCGACTCCGGAGCGGAACTTGGAGATGGAAGATTCCCTTGCGTGAGCGCAGTGACGTTAGCGCGCGTCCTGTCTCGCTACTTTCGGAGTCCGTCCCCCCAGCCCCACACCCCGCTGGCTTAACCCTCCCTACGCTGGAGTCGCTCCTCTGAAGCCTGAGTTGGGGGAAAGGGGAGTATCTCATCTTCTTGGGTTACCTGACTGGGAACCAGACTTTGCATACCAGGGAGGAGGAGACTGATGTCTGGGACTCCTGGTCCTGGATGAGAGGATGCTGGGCTCCCAGAATTGCTGCATCTATGGAAAGCATGGGCGTCTGCGGGATGGATGGTCCCTGCGCTCCCAAGTCTGCAGAGATGGGGGCGGGGGCTTTGGAACTCGGGATCCCTGAGAAAGCCCTGGACCAGAGTCCTCTTCTGTTGTCTAGTTTTCCCCAGGGCAAAGAAGTAGCAAGTCAGCTTTTCCTGTGTTGAGGATCGAACCCAGGACCTTGCTACCACCGAGCCAGGCTCCCAGCCCCATAAGTCAGATTCTAGAGCATAGTTGTTTTGAGACTGGGTAGCTAGGCTGCTTTCTAACTCAGTATGTTTATGAGCCTGGCTTTGAACTCCTGATCCTCCTGCCTCCCCACCCGGCGAGCGCTGGGATTGTGTGTGAGCGTGTGCCACCATTCCTAGCTTGAACCAGGGAAATATCGAGAACCTGGATATACAGTTTCAGAAAAGGGTGACTAACGGGCCCTTCCACCCACCCCAGGCCTCAGGACAGGGAGCCCCAGGGTGGGATTTTTTACGGAAGTGGAGGAGATGCTGCAGAGGGCCACTCGCCTCCTCCTTCCTCAGTTTCCACTACGCTGGTGGAAAGTTGGGTCAGAGGAAAAGCGTGGAGCAAAGGGAAGGAAACGGTGGAGGCGGGCCCTGCACTCGGTATCTTCTATTGGCTTTGCAGTTCTCAGGCGGCACCCCGTACCAGTTTTTCCGCGCAGGAGGACAAGGGGTGCGCCCACATCCACTCCTCCTCGCCCACTACTGCGCTTACACTCCTGATGACTTCCTTCCCTCTTCCTCCACACAGTGAGTCGGAATGAGCGCAACCACTGCCCAACACAGACAGTTAAGAAGCTTCTGGAAGAACAGAGACGCCGTCAGCAGCAGCCTGACGCCGGTGGCATACCGGTGAGGCTCAGGAAGCCCTGTATACATGAAGCCGTGTGCCCTGGGGGAGATGGGAGTTGTAGTCCTGACTCTGATGCGCCATAGGTGGGGAAGAGTTGCTGAGAAATGTGCTGGATGCATACATTCACTCTTGTTTCTGTTTTTTTCTTTTTTAACCTGCAGGGACACTTCTCCCCTCCCCTGACCCAGCCGTTGACCCCATCTGTGAGTGAGGCTGAGGCAGGTAAGTCTAAAAATCCAACCAGGTTCTGTTAGTTCCCAGTCCCAGCAACTCTTAGGCACTCAGACATTAACACTCTTAGAACTTTGAGTCAGGTCTTCATTATGTTGAAACCCAAGGGAAATTTTGATGTACAGCCTGGCATGGAGGTGCTCACCAGTATTCCCAGCACTCCAGAGACTGAGACAGGAGGATTGCTGTGTGTTTGAGGCCATCCTGGTTTATCTAATGAGTTTCAGGCCTGCCAGGGCTACATAAGAGACCCTGCCTCCAAAGCCAAACCCAAAACCCCTGAAGTAATGTAGATTCTCTGTAACCCAGTTAGTCTATGCATATTGTCTGTCAGGGATCCAGCCTTTTGGGTCCCAGGAGTCCCAATCCCATTTTCTTGGGATCTCAGAGGGCTAAGCTTCCAACCTCTTGTTTTCCCAAGATTGCGAATATACCAGACTGAAGGCCAGAACTCCTGGGTCCTAGATGAGGGGATGTTGGGCTCTGGGATTGCTGCATCTGTGGGATGCATGGGTATCTGTAGGATACATGGATGGTCTCTGCTCTCCCTAGTCTGTAGAGGTGGGGGTGGAGGCCTTGGAACTCAGGATCCCTGAGGAGGCAGGGATGGAAGCCCAGGCTTCCCAGCCCCTTGGTGATCCGGAAGCCCTAACTCTCAGCACCTTGGGAGACTTGGATTCACTAATCCTAGCTGTGACTTCTGGTCTCTGGTAACCAGGCTTGTCCCTGCCCCTCCTCAAACTTTCAGGCCATACTCACTTCCCAGCCTTCCAAGAGACCTTGGATTCTGGACCTGGCAACCTGGCTCCCACTCTGGGCTTTACAGACTGGGAACCTAACACCCCTGCCACCTATACAGACAGCCCCTGTTCTTATCCTGCTGCCGCTGCCGAAAGTTTCCTGACTCCTGACTTCTACCCACCTTCAGACCCGGGCCGGCTAGGCCCATTTCCCTCAGGAATGGAGGTGAGCCACAGAGTGGGGACCAGACACTGAAGGGCCCCTAAAAACTCCTGGCTATGCTGGCTGGGTCTGATGGTATAGGACTGTCAGACCAGCTACTTGGGAGGCGGAGACAAGAGGATTGCAAGATTTGCCTGAGCTATGGAATGAGTCAGCCTGGATATGTTAGTGAAACCTTGTCTTAAAATAAAAAGTAAGGGGCTGGAGAGATGGCTCAACAGTTAAGAGTACTGGCTGCTCTTCCAGAGGACCTGAGTTCAGTCTCCAGCATCCACTTGGTGGCTAAGTACCATCAGTAACTCAGTTCTAGGGGATCTGACACCCTCTTCTGACCTCCATGGGCATTGTACAACATGGGTTTACTTACATACATGTATACAATATATTCAAACACATAAATAAAAATAGTAAATAAAATACTTAAAATAAAAAGTAAAAAACTGGCTAGGCTGTGAGTGTTCACGCCGGCCTTTAATCCCAACACTCCTGAGACAGAGGCAGGTGTGTTTCTGTGAGTTCCTAGCCAGTCTAGTCTACATAGTGAGTTCCAGGCTAGTCAGTGACACATAGAAAGACCCTGTCTAAAACAGCAGCAACAAAATCAGGCTGGAGAGATGACTAAATGGTTAACAGCACTGGTTGTTCTTGTAGAGGACCAGTTTGGCTCCCAGCACCCATATCAGGTGGCTCACAAACATCTGTGACTCCAGCTCCAGGGGACCTAATGCCTTCTTCAGGCCTCTGAGGGCACATACCTCACCCACCCCCATTACACGTAATTAAAAATAAAAATCTTTTTAAAAAATTACTTTGGGGCTGGAGAGATGGCTCAATGGTTAAGAGCACTGACTGCTCTTGCAGAGGATCTGGGTTCAATTCCCAGCATCCACATGACAGCTAACAACCGTCTGTAACTCCAATTCCAGGGGATCCAACGCCCTCTTCTGATCTCCATGGGCACTGCATGACGTGGTTGCACCTATCTACATGCAAGCAATACACTCGTACACATAAAATAATAAAAAATTTTAATTGAAATTAAAAAATAAAAAATATTTATTTTTATTTTATGTATATTAGTATTTTGCCTGCATGTATGTGTATGTACCACATGCATGCCTGGTGCTGGTAAAGACCAGAAGGCATTGCATCCCCTGGAACTGGAGTCATAGGCAATTGTTAGCTGCCATGTGGGTATTGGGAACAGAACCTGAGTCTTCTGCAAGATCATCAAGTGCTCTTAACCACTGAGCCATCTCTCCAGTTCCTAAAAATAAGTTTAAAAAAGTTAAAAATAAAAAAGAGGGTTGAGAATATAGAGTGGTCCAGCTCTTTCCTAGCATGCATGAGGCCCTGGGTTCAAGCTCCAGTACCTCAGGAGGAAAATGATCTCACTTGTGTTTGTACAGTATTGTGAGATACCAGGGGTTAAAGATCTCGTCCACAGCCATAATCCAGGTGCGGTGGATTATGCCCGTCGTCCCAGCAACTGGGAAGCAGCGGCAGAAGGATTAAAAAGTTTGAGCCTGCTGCTCAGGCATGGTGGCGCACACTTTTAATCCCAGCACTCAGGAGGCAGAGTCAAGCAGATCTCTGTAAAATCGAGGCCAGACTGCTTTACTAGGGAGTTCCAGTACAGCCAGGGCTACATAACAAAACACAAACAAGCTGGACGTGGTAGTGCCCCAGTACTTAGGATGTTGAGGCAGGAGAATTGCTTTACATTCACAGCTAGCCTGGGCTTCACAGTGAGAGCCTGTCTTAAAAGATAAAAACAAGCAAAAGAAGATCCCATTTCCCCCGCTATGGAAAAAACTGAAGCCTGAGATTCAAGGTCACTTGGCACACATGGGACTCCTGGTCTCAATACTTCCCCAGAAGCTTTGTTTTGTGTTTGAGGAGAATTTTTAGCTGACCAACTCTTCCCCACCCTTCACCCTTCAGGATCCCCTGGATTCTCGGCTGTATACTGACCCTTCCTTGCCACAAGTGGGGTCCTGGAGAGTCTCTGGGATCCCCTCGGGCTCCCCACAGTTGCCTCCATCTACTGGACCCTCCCTGGACACAGCCCGAGCTCACATACTGGCTTTGGGGCCCCAACAGCTACTGGCCCAGGATGAGGAGGGAGACACGTAAGTATAGAGGAACAGGGTGATCTGTAATCTCCTCTCTGGGTTTGGTGGGGAGCCTCTTCTCACTGCTGCTCCCCACTCGTCCTCAGGCTCCTGCACCTGTTTGCGGCTCGGGGGCTGCGCTGGGCAGCATATGCAGCAGCAGAGGTGCTGCAGATGTACCGACATCTGGACATTCGGGAACATAAGGGCAAGGTGAGGAATGATGGTCCAGACTCATGCATCTGGGAAGAAGACACCTGGTTTCTAGAGGGGAGGATACTGGGGGCCCAGGCTGATCTTCCTGTGACCTGCAGACCCCTCTCCTGGTGGCAGCCGCTGCCAACCAGCCACTGATTGTAGAAGATCTGCTGAGCCTGGGAGCAGAGCCTAATGCCACTGACCATCAAGGCCGTTCTGTCTTGCACGTGGCTGCCACCTATGGACTCCCAGGAGTCCTTTCGGTATGATCAGCTGGCAAGTGGGTGTCTTGGTGGTGGGCTGGGTCACCAGATTCTGGCTTCCAGACCTAGAAAGTCTGAGGAGACCCTGCCATAGCTCTCTGCCTTCTCCTCCTCCCAGGCTGTGTTTAGGTCAGGCGTTCAGGTGGACCTGGAAGCCAGAGACTTTGAGGGTGAGCTGGGCATGGCCAGGGCTGGCATGGCAGGCTGGCTGGGCTGGGTAGGTCCTAGGTAGCAAGTCTCTCATTATTTCTCTTCTGTAGGCCTCACTCCCCTCCACACATCCATCCTGGCCCTCAATGCTGCCATGCGCTCTTCTAGCCTCAGCCCACGGATACTGAATGTCCAAGCCCGAGACAGACTGGCTTGTGTGCAGATGTTGCTGCAAGTAGGTGCTGATCATACCAGCCAGGTAAGCTGGGTTGACTAAGGAGGGGTAGGCCCATAGGAAAGTGTTCAACAAGGCCATCTGAACATCCAGGGCACTAAACAAAGGCTAATTTTGCCTCTTCCTAGCTATATGATCTTTCAGTTCCCTGTGCCCTAGCTGTCCATGTGGATTAATATTACTGATCTTTGATTTATGAAGCATCAGGCTTCATGGATTAACCATTTGGATCCACCCAAACATCCCTGAACTCTTTTTTTCCCCTTCCTTCCTTCCTTCCTTCCTTCCTTCCTCCCTTCCTTCCACCCTCCCTCCCTTCAGACACTTAAAATCACTCACCTCTGTGTTTCCAAATATTCATTTACAGTCATAGTACAAAATGTACAAGATAGAGCCATTCTGGAATTTGATTTTTTCTTCTTCCTTCCTTCCTTCCTTCCTTCCTTCCTTCCTTCCTTCCTTCCTTCCTTCCTTCCTTCCTTCCTTCCTAATGTATTTTTATGTGTAAGAGTGTTTTGTCTGCACATATGTAAGTGTCTCATATGCGTTCAATGCCTGAGAAGTCAGAAGAGGGTATTAGATCTCCTGGGACTGGAGTTACATCAATGATTGTTAGTTGCCATGTGGGATGCTGGGAACCGAATCTGGGTCCTCTGCAAGAGCAACACACACTCTTAACCTCTGAGCCATCTCTCCAGTCCATATTTTCTCTATTTCACTGATAAGGAAATAAGTCCAAGGGGTCAGAAATTGTATAGCTTGTGTGTTAAGAGGAGTTTAGAACCCAGGAAGAGTGTCTGGCCCTAGCGTTTGGCTCTTAATTATATATTTAAGCCTCTTTTCACTTGATAGTGCTCCTTCTTAGGCAGACTGAGTGGAATATCATTTAATTTAAAGCATTTCTTTAAGTCAAGAGTTGTGAACATAGACAGGAGACAGTGATGTAATAACTGCCCAGCACTCTTCTCCCTTCCCACGTACTCAATAAACTATGCTTCCAGAAACTTTGTTTTGTTTTGAGACAGGGTCTCACTGTGTATTCCTGGCTGACCTGGAACTTGCTATGTAGACCAGGCTGGCCTGGAACTCACAGAGATCTTCCAGCCTTTGTCTTCCAAGTGCTGGGATTAAAGGTGTGTGCTATCATGTCCATCCCTAGAAACAAATTTGAACATAGATTAATTGTAGGGAGTATTATAATGAGCTCCATGTACCCAACGTCACATCAGTAACCAGCAGGCATGGCTAGTCCTGTCCCATCCATTCTCCCACTTTGCTGTGTTATCTTTGTTTTTTGGTGGTACTGGGGATTGATCCTGGGGCCTAGTGCATGCTAGGCAAGCTCACTACACTCCTCTGTTATTTATTTATTTTATTTATTTTTAATTCTAATTTTTTTAATGTATTACAAGTGTTTTGCCTGCAAGTTGTCTCTTCTGCAAGAGACAGAAGAGGGTGTTGGATCCCCTGGAACTGGAATTATAAGCAGTTGTTAGCTGCTATGTAGGGGCTGGGAACCAAACCTGAGTCCTATACAAGAGCTGCCAGTGCTCTTAACTGCTGTGCCATCTCTCCAGCCCCTACTTACTTATTTTTGAAATATGCTCTCCTTATGTAACTTAGGTTAGCCTCAAACTCACCATCCTCCTACCTTAACCTTCCAAGTGCTGGGATAATAGACTGGTGCCACCACATCTATTTTTTTTTTTTTTTTTGTCTTTTTGAGACAGGGTCTCCTTGTAGCCCCAGCTACCCTGGAATTCACTATGTAGACCAGGCTGGCCTTGAACTCACAAAGATCTGCCTGCCTCTGCCTCCCAAGTGCTGGGATCAAAGGCGTGCGCCACCATGCCCAGCCTCTTCTGCTATTTTTAAGCTAGTATAAGCATGTAATTTCCATAATTAGTGTGTGTGTGTGTCTGTGTATGTCTGTTTGTCTGTCTTTCTGTGCTGAGAATGGAACCCATATGCCTCCTTGTGCTCATTTCGGTGGTAGAACACCCACCTAGAATCCCCCAGTGAGGGGCTGGGGTATAGATCAGTGGTACAGCACCTGCCTAGCTGGAGACCCTAGATTCCTTAAAGGGATATAATGTTTCATTTTAGAAAATATATTTTTCAAGCTGGGTGTGGTGGTACATGACTTTAATCCCAGCACTTAGGAAGCAGAGACAGGCAGATCTCTGTGAGTTCCAGGCCAGCCTGGTCTACATAGCAAGTTCCAGGCTAGCTGGGTCTACAGGGAGACATCTTGTCTCAA